AGAAATCATTCAAAAAGACAATCGCTATTCATTTCAAAGATAGCGAAATATGTCAGTGAATTGTTCATAGTCATTTAACACTTCAAGTTTTTGTGGTATCAAATGAATGACTTCTTTTTTCTCCTTTTTCCTTTTTTTTAGCGACACAAAAAGCGCTTCAAATCAAACCGGCAATCATATTGATTTGCAGGTAAATAAACATAGAAAAAAAATATGATGAGTGAATAACAAAACATACTTAAACAAAATGAAAAAGGTGACAAATGAGGACATGTCCTCATACGACAAGACATTTGACACCTATTGCAATAGCTACTAGATAGCTCCTTAGATCATTCACCGCCTTGTGATTATCCTTTTCAAGGATGTGCTTGTAAAATCATTTCTCTTTGCATCCTCACCCTAAATATATAGTTTCGTTTCAAATTACTATTTGTCAGTGTCTTTTGACAATGAAATATTTTCATTGCTTGAAACATTATTTATCTTTCTATTCAGTTAATGAAATCATTAATTAGAAACAATTTAATACTTTTAAATTATTTTCTTTTTTTAAATGAATAGTAATTATAATTCTACCGTAATCATTTGACATATTCTAATAACAATGTTATATTTGCATCAGGAAATCAAAAAAAGATGAAAATACTTTTTTAATGCTTTCACTCTTTTTATCTTTTCCTATTCTTCATTAATACTGCAAACATTAATTCAATTTTTTACCAAAGGTTGAATTTTTAATTTAACTTTATTTTTTTATTAGAATCTTAAAACTAAAATTTTTATTTATATCAGGTAATGTGGTATTTAATTGGTTCGAAAACAATATTTGATAATCATTCAAATATTGTTAGTAATTTTATGTGAGTCAAATAGCTTTGCTAATTTTATAATTCGATGAGTGACAAATTTCTATTTCAACATCTGATCATATTACCACTATTAAAATTGAATTAAAGGAATTCATTAAAAATTCATGAAATTTTTAATTGGTACTGAACTTTTCGTCCTTTTTTTGCTGATTTCCAAACTTTGGATGAGTCTTACCTGTGGAATATATGCAAGTTCCAATTTCACCTTGTCATATGGTTAACTATAATCTTGCTATCTTCTATCTATACACTGTCTTCTTAACTTCACTTTGCTTAATATAAGTTACTATAAAATTAAAATGTGTTAAAATATGAAATTACATTTGCTTTATTCTGTTATACTGGTTTTTATCAAATAATATTTGGTGATGCAGTGTCAAATGTATGATTATTACTTAAAAATAGACTAATTTTATGGAAGAAGATAAATGATGCTTTAGCTTAAGTCGGAAGGTCAACGGTTTTGTGCAATAATTCTTGTATACTACCAATTTCGATTTCTTTGTTCTTCAGACAAAAAATTAGTTATTTCTGAAATAGTCCGAAAATTTGTAAAATGGCAAAAGAACTGTATACATTTCCATTTCCAAAAGCTGTTATATGACAACAAAAGGACAACAAAGTTCATTAAAGTTCAAGTAGATTATTGAAGGAAATATGGTAATAGTAGTTATTAGAAGAATCAAATTTTCAGACAACAAACATTGTTGTTACCCATCAACAGATTTCCCAACTATGAATTAATGTAAACTGAATCCAACCAATTACCCAAATCTCATCCATACGAACAATGAATGGTCAACATAATATAACAAAAGGAAGTAGTAGCCAACATTATGAAAGGTCATCATTAGACAAAATACATTTCTGAGCAATTAGTTCTTCACACCTCTAACTCTACAGTAGTCTTCAATTTGATAAATGCAGGAAATTGTATGTTATGAGATCTGAATCTGATTGATGACCTAATTAAGTTTCATGTGGATAAGATAATTAGCTGAGAAAATGACGAACTACTGGATTACTTAATTAATACATCAATCCTAATATCAAATTACGGATAAAAATAAAATTTGATTCCTGAAAAATCTAATAAAATATGAAAAAAAATTTTTTCTTATATTAAAATGCATAAAATTTACGCACCATAATTGTCACTTCTTATCTTTTTGTTTTCTCATTTTTCATCTTTCCAGTTTATTCAAAGAATCACAGAAAAAAGGATGAAAAAATCTCGATTTTGCTAATTAAAAATGACCTGAAAATGGATTTGTTCTTCATATGGTATTAGTTATGCAAATGAGGATAAGAACAGATAATCTGTTGAAGAAATTAAGATATTTGCTATGATTAGGATACTCGCCATTAACTGTTGACCTCTTTTCTATTATTTTCAAGGATGTGAGGAGTGGTGAGAAAGAATCATGAAGTGATCCCACCTGCTCATTTCCACTTTTAATATTTGTTCAGTTTCACTTTCACTGTTTATTCCGTTACACTTTTCCAACAAGTACCATCTATCAGTAAGTATCTAAGGTATTGGCTAAAGTATACAAAAATATTCATTTCTTATTTTTAATAAATGTCCACACAGCCTACTACGTTTCTATCTTCTAAATAATTGCTAAGGAGTCGTATGGTAATAAGTTCATTTTCCGGAATTCTGGGATTCTGTAAGCTCCGAAATCCAATATGAAATAAATCTAATTTTCAATATGAAATAAATCTAAATTTCAGTTCTTCTTTTGTTATTGTTGTTGTTCTGAAAAATAAATTCGGCATGGAATATGTTCAATTGCGGGAAATCATTCCTTCTGTGAGTATTGACGTGAAATGTGTTTAAAACCATTCTTCCTGATGGATACTACTGGTTTATTTATAAAGTATCTGATATTTGATGTAACAGAAACAGATCAATTATAACCAATAAATAAACCATTGACTTATTTAAAATTCTCGAATATGGCCTTGAAGATAGTCTTTAAATCAAATTTTATTGCTACACATAAAATAAAATTAGTAATCGAATTATACTCATTGCTAAAAAGGTAAAGCTGAACCAGTAAGTCATCATTAAAGTAATCAGGAAAGGAAGAAGTACGAATTTGCTACTTAATTTTATTGCACTACAGTAATCAGTGAAGCATACCGTTCATTACTTGCTGGAGTACCACATCATCAGTTTTGGTTGCTTAAAATCGGAAGAAGCAGGTGCAGTAGAAGTGGTAGCATTAACTCGATGCATTGTTTATGGATCTTAAACAAGACTAATTGGTTGACACGAACATTGTACATACAATTCACCAAATGTCACCCATCCAGCAATAGTAATAATGGAACTAATTGAAATGAGTCTACTTCTCTTATTATGTAATGAAACAAAAGAATAAAATAAGAGATAAAAAATACATCAAAATCAAAATAAAATAAATTAGTTAAAATGACAATTGAATTCTTATAGAATTTTGTGGACAAGCAACAGATTTATATTTCAAAAGCAGAATTTCACAGTTAAATATGTTTTATAACATTTCAAGCTTGTTTATATTTACTAATATCAATACTAATTGATTACTGATCAGTTATTTAATAAATTAATGCAAAAAGTAAAAAATAAAGAAGTATGAAAAAAACTTCAAAAAAAGATGAAAGTTCTAAAAAAATTTATTTAACAAACCAATTTGCACGCTTTTTTTTGGAGCTTAATTTTTTTCTAAATTCATTTGCAATTTATAATTTTACAAAATTTCACGTGCAATCAAAAAATTAGTATTTAAAATTTTAAAATATCCAGTTACTTTTCAGAAATTTAAAAAAATTTTGATAGATATAAGTACTCTCAAATATTAGTTTAAAGTTTTATTCTTTTATTACATCGAATTTTAATTATTCTTACAGAAATTATCATATTAAGCAATTATAAAAAAGTTTTTGTCTTTTCATAAATGATATACCTGATTGATTCCTGGTAAAGGATTGATCCGTGCTAATTAACTTTTAAATATTATTCATGTGATGGATGATGCGATACTAATACAATTAACCTTCCTTTACCTTCAGGAAATACCAATCGGATTACTTCCTGTCGGCTCCTTTCAAAAGATATAATCTTGTTCAATTGGATATTCATTTAATAATAACCATCACATTTTGATACTAATTTTCAACTTTTAAACACTTATAAAGAAAATAAGCTGTGACTTGAATTTTTTGAAATTTAATTCAATTTTTTTATTTTCTTTAGAAGTGTTCAAAAGTTGATAATTAATAATATGCGATAATTAGTGACAAATGAATATGTTATTGTTATGTAAATTTTTACAGTACACGTTCGTAACATTTGTTACACGGTTGCAGCATTCAAAAATTTTCTTTTTTTTTTTAAAATAATATTCACTGAAACGTTGTTGATCTAAATGTATTTGTGTCAAATTGAAGTGAGGTACCTGATAACACGTTTAAATTTAATTTTACTACATTGTACATACTTTGCTTCAGGAGTGTTAATGATACAATGTGCTAGTATAATTCACTAATTTAGCTGTTTCAAACACTTTTTTTAAGAAGAGTTTTGGTGAAATTTTCAAATATATCTAGTAATCACAGTGATTAAGCAACAAATATTTATTCTATAAGCCATGACAATTAATGCTAGCAACAAAAAAAAAAAAAAAAACAACTGTAAAGGACAAATAATGAGAAAATATTTTGGTACAGAGAAGCAACAAATGAGGAAAACGAAAGTAATGAAATCAAGACAAAAAATTATTTTTAAAGCTAATTTATGATGAGAAATTATAAACAACATTAAATTCATTAATTAAGTCAATCCGAATATCAATTTTAAATTACTTCCTCAATTAAATTCTAAATTAGTGCATATAACTTCTATCAACAATACATTACGGTACATCCGGAGTGCATATATTCCATTCAATGTAATTACTTCCTTCCAACTCCAGAAAAATAATCAGCCTTTCCGGTTTGCAACCAACTGCCAGGTGCATAATTGTTAGCCTCTCAATTAGTACTGCATTGTGAGGGAGGAGAGCCAAGAATGGGGAGGAATCTGAGTTAGAACGTCCATCCAATCTCCATTAATGATGAACAACAATTTGGCGCAATACAATGGGAGGAGCTTGCGGTGATGCGGTAGTCCATCCCACATTTATCCGACACATCAGGTTGCAGCAGTTGCCGGTGCTGCGACTGCTTCTGCTGTTGCTGTTGCTTGCTCGTTCCGCACAAGGCTATTCATATTCGTGTGATTGTCATCTCCCAGTGGTACGGTAGCAAATCTCTCTCTCTCCCTTATCACTGACAACCAACAAATTCCACCGCGGTACAATAACTCCTCGCAAATTCCCTACTTACCAAGCAATTAAAATAATAATAGACAAAGATTACACCAGTGTACGCTGTTTATGAGTAACTAGGAAGGGTTATTCAATGCGTCAACTGCTGAACGCATTTAAATGTCTTGAAATATACGCTTTCAGATGTTATGCGTTGCGTTACTCATCGATAGATTTCCTTCACCGATAGGGTATATTCCGTGTTCGGCAACGATACTTTCAAGTTTCATCGAATCAGTTGTAACGGATACTGCACGAATCGTTCCTATAGGCAATCACATTTCCGTATTTATCCCTGCGACAGAAGACGAACGGAAGGTGAAATTTATGGATGCTGCAATGCAAACATCGCCTGGTTTGTTACTTTCCTCGAAGGATTTCAAATTCTGCTTTACGTTTCATAAAATGAATTGAATTTTAGTAACGCAACTCAACATGTCAATAATAGCTCGTCAATTGCGTGATATGGCTGACAGGTTCGAGTACCACTACAGTGAGGAAGAACGACGCTCTGCATGCACACCTGCACCATCATCGCCGCAGTCGCAGGTTAGAATTCATTACATAATCTCTCGGGGAAGAACTGCTCTATGGAGGAAAAATATGAGTCACTCAAAATTAGATAAATCCCACATTAGATTTTGTGTAAACAAAGCAAATATTAATGCACTGTAATAAAGTCCCAATCACTATTAAAGGTTTACGGTTACAATTATTGCGCAAATTGTCAAAAAATATTGCCATTGACGTATTCACATAAATTCTTCACTTTTTCATTCTGAAAAGATTATTTTAAATGATTATATTTTAAATAATAAACATTTCGTTTTCTAACTCTCAAATTGCGAACTTTGGTCGAACATTGAGTCGTTTAATACTCAGGAAGTTTTGGCACTTGTAATTTAGGTCAAAACTGAAATAAATTTCAGCTGCGAAGTTTGTCATTTTCAACTTTCGTCCAATTCATTACAAAAAATTTCATCAATGTTTTACTGGAACGAATATTTGAACGATTCTATTTGAGGAAAAAGTGAATTGCGTGTCTACCTTGTACCTATCTGCGTGATATTTCCATGTTACACTAACCGTCACAGATAATGTTTAGTAGCGGAATGGTAGAAAAGTGTATGATAGAATGAGTCGGCCATATTAATATCACATTTTAATTATCGAACACAATACTAATTATTAATCAATTTATTTTTGTACTTATTTTGTGTATTAATTGGTGCTATGCAATTTTGTTTGAATAAACAAATATTTAAAATTTTGTTAAACAAAGTTTTCTTCACGAATTTCATTACTTTGCTATGGTTGAGCCTTTAAATTAACAAAGTATCGTTAAAATTGAAGCATTTGTTTAGCTCCGACTTTTTGCTAGAATAAGACAACAGCGCACAGTAGTAGTAACCTAAAAACTACGGTATTAATAGCCGAAAGGTTCAATTTTACAGTTAGTGGCTCTATAAATGACGTAATGTGAAGTGACACCTGGTCATTCAACTTTGGCACTTTAATTAATTCAACTGCAAAGAATTCAATAATCTCAAGCCGAAAGCATTTTTTTACTATCATTTACAAGTGCCCAGCAAGTGCTTCCATACACTGACCACTCTTTAGAGTCATTACTTTGTCTACGTTTTTCCACTATGCAATGATTAATTAATTCGATGAAACTATTTGTTGCGCCACGTGGCAATCATCAGAAAAGTATAAAAGAGAGAGGGCGAGGAAAAGAGAAAGTGTGGTTGAGAAAAAGATTAGAATTGAAAGTTGTGGAATGTGCAAAATATTGCAAAAAAAAAAAAAAAAGAAGAAATCTTAAAAGCCATTTAAGCATTTGTTTACCATTAAATCTAATCTATGCTCCTTTGCTGACCCATTTGACCTTTCATAATTATGTGAGAAGACGATAATCTTAGTTAAAAAGCATATGGTATTCTGTGCAAGTGGTTAATGGCAAAAATTTTTTTGCACTAAGCTGTAGACTTATGTAAACTAAGCTAACAGTGGACAATAACCTTCAGACTAGACAATTATCCAGGAAGTCCTTCTAGCTTGTTTTTTTCTCAATTAAATTCACACCTGCGCAAACGTTCAGTGAAAAATGATGGATGAGCAATTAAGAGAAATGCCATTCACATTTGCGCATTCATATCGAATTACATATTGTTGGGTAAGATTAGTAGCTCACACTTCTAAGTGACATCGTTTAAAGCAAATTCATTTATCAGCTATGTGTCTCATTTGTTTCAAAGTTAATTAATTTATATATAAAATTTAAAGTAATACAAGGAGTCATTGTAAATGAATTGAGTCCTATTCCGATATTTATTTATATTCATGAAGTTTTAAACTAAGTTTAAAGTCCGAAAGTGATTCACAATAAAGATTATTTCATAACTTTTTTTCGATATTAATCATTCTAGGAAAGAGGGTCAAGGAAAATCTGACACAATTAAAGTTGACGAAGTATTGTGAAATCGATGTCCTCTACCAATGATTGAATTTAATGATGGAGAAATTGTGGACAGTCAGTAAAACAATTTGACAAATGAAAATCCCACCTTTTCTTTTTTCCTTTCACTCTGTTAATTTGTACATCCCTTTTATAAGATGATTGTTAATTGAAGTTTGTTAAATTACTGCCTTCCAGGAGGTCTCATATGAAAAGTTTACCTGTTAGTCTTGTTGATGATGCTGTTATTGTCATTTCGGTCTACCTCTTATTCAAAATCGAACTGATCATTATTCCATTCATAACTCTCATTCAGCCACTTTGAATGAAATTAGAATGAATAGGGTCTGAATTAAAAATTCATTAAATCAAGATGTTTCAGTTTAAATGAGTTGTATTCCCACATCTATTCCACATTAGCTATTTCTTTATTTATAATATCTTTTATTCTTTTATTTCATTATTTCATTTATATCTTTTATTCTCTTTTATTTTTTTATTCTTTTATTTTTATCTTTTATTTCATTCATCACTTCTCAGATTAATTCTCAAAGTTTTTCATTTGAAATCTTCATAGGTCTTTTTTCGCAAAGTTAAAAAATGTTTGATTGAAATCTAGAAAAAAGACACAGTACTACTTATTCGATATCTTTCAATCAATTTAAAAAAAAGGGGTCAAAAAAGCTGTCATTAACAAGATTCCGATGATATTATGAAATTCGTACGAATCGTTAATGATTAAGTTTAATCCAAGAAAAAAAAACTTCAACGATTGGCAAAACAATATGACAAGTGAAAAATCTTTCTTTCACTTTTTCCTCCTCCGCTCCGACAACCTATCAGATCAAAATGATTCCATTTCGTAATGAATGGAGATGAATCATTATTTGTTGATTAGGTGATCTTGCCTGAGAATTTCACCTGTGGACATCTCATACGATGAATTTACTTGTTACTTTTGTTGTTGTTGTTGTTGTTGTGTTGTTCCAGTCTATGTCTCTTTCATAATCGGATCGTACCATTTAGGGAATAGGCCATTTATTCGCTTCATATATCTCATTCAGCCATTTGAAATGAAAATTCGAATGAATAGAGTTGAAATGCAGCAAAGTGATGCAAAATGTCAACATCCATACTAATTACAAATTAGAATGATCTGTCAAATCTGTCCTCCAAACTGAGAAACATTAAGAAAATTATTCACCAAACTTTCTATGATAATTGCTAACAATAATGTTAATCCATTTTGAAAGTGAAATAAGTTTTATTTTAAATAATAAACAACGATTAAATTTCATAATTATTATAATTGTTCCCTCATACTTTCTTTAAATTCTAATTTCTACTCTTTTTTTTTTGTCATTTATATTCATTATATTTACTGTTCCCTCTAAAATGAAATGGAGCACTTTTTACAATTCACAACAATTATCTAAAAAATTAAATTAATCATTGTTTGCCCTTTTTTTTGATTTGTTAGGAAAACAATGAAATTTCGAACTAAATCAAATCAAATAAATTTTTACAAAAACTTCATTAGAAATCGTAATAGTAAGCTGATTACGATCAAAAAAAAGAAAGAAAAGCAAAAAGTGAAGAAAAAAAGTTATTTATTTTAATGTTTGCTGCAAAAGCCGCCATTTCTTTTTGATAGGCAATCACTTCACACTGTTCTTTGTGTCCATAATTTTTAACTTTTTTCTAATATATTACAACGAACGAACGATCAACCAATAATCATTCCTTCTCATTTTGTCGCTATAATCAACTAAATACACCACACACACATACACACACACACACACAGACAGACACTTACTAATAGTATTATTCAGTGGAGCATTAACGATTTCTTTTTGTTGTTAGTCATTTAAGAAATAATTTTTATAACAGAACTTAGAAATATTGGGTAATAAAAGAAAGATGCAATTCTTTTTCAAGTTTATTTCATTTTTTTTAAAGGTTTCTAATATTTTACTTATTTTTTAGAGTTAACGAAATAATATTTCGTAAGTGAATGATTACGTTGCACTATCTCGTATTCACTTTCTATCATTTATATATTATTGGTTGTATAATAGTCAATTTATAAAGTATTAAAAAATATTATATTAACATACTGTGAATAGGTTTTATGAATTCTTAGTTAATGAACTAATTTAATTTAGTATAAATTGCAAGTGAAAATATAGCCAAGATTATGTGCTTGAAATATTCTCATAGAGAAAATTGAGAAGAAATAAATGTAAATGCAATAGTATTTGTTCAACAAGAGAAACATTAGTTTGTAAAAATAATCTAAATCAAATTTCAATTATAATTATTCAATCACTGAACATATTCATCTCCATTTAGTCACATCAAATTAAAGCCTATACTTTGTTGCATAATGAGAACATTCGAATATCGTTCGAAATAAGAATAAATTAACTGTTACACTTGTTTTTTTTTCTAACTAATTATGAGATCATTTTCGGTTCTACGATAATTCAAAAAAAAAAATTCGAAAAGAAAAGAGTAATCACTGATAGAATTTGCGTGATCATTTCTGAACCAATATTCCTTCCTATTATATTACTGTCCTCTTTTATATCTAATTTTGAAGTAATCTGAGCAGTAAATATTTCTACAAGTATAAAAGAAATTTTCAAAAATATAGATTGCAAGAATGATTCAAATCAATTTTGCCAACTATTTTTCTATTCCATTGTGCAGAGTTAAAAATAATTCATAAATGTAAAAAACTATCTTTTTCTAATAACTCCCACATCTTCCCGCATCATATCTTTTGATCTAGCACTGAACATTGAAGTTTCATCAAACAATTCAGTATTTTTAAAATAAAAGGTTCTAACTTCAATGACTTTTCGCCTCATAAAATGTCAAAAATATAAATGAACTTTATCCTTCATGCTCATTAATCTCATTATAAACACCTGCTACAGTTTGCTGTAAGTATGATAAAGTAAGCTTTGAAGTAATCCGATAATTGTATGAATAATTTGGAATGTATTGTTCTCAAAGGTAACACTAAGCTCATAGTCTCGTATAATTTACTTCTATACAATGAAGTATTAATTGTTCAGGAAATAGAGGTTACCGGTCATAACTATATCACAATTGAATTGTTTTTCTTTTCATTTCATAAATCATAACAATTCAGTGTTCTTTTCACCTTCCTCATTCCAAAGTCCAGATGACCTTTAGTGGTGCTAAAATGAGTGACCAAATTAATAAGCAAAGCTTATAGTACTATTTAACTAGTAGTTAATGGAATTAATAACTGTTGCTTAGAATGATATTCCATCGAATATGCCAAATTGCTATTTTAGCATATGTTCAAATACATTTGATCTATTAGTCTAAATAAAGAAGGAAACAGCTTGTACTACATAGGATCATTTTACAGTAAATGTAGTAAGTGAATGGCAATAAGCTTTTCTATTCAATCAAATTACTTAGGCTTAAATGATAATAATCAGATTGTTATTTGAACCTTAAATCGTTTTTATTACATCCTTCCAATTAACTGTTGTAACTTTAATTATGATTCCCTTATTAAATTTTAGTCCCTATAATTATTGACAGATTGTTTTCATCCATTGTAAAATGAAGTGATAACCGGCAATTACATAATTCGAAAAAGTGCATTAAACTAAGAGAGTAAAATAATGTAGAAACGAATATTAAAGCTAATCTTTTCATCTCCCATACAAACAATTTTTGTTACATTTATGCAATTTCACTTTTCTAGATTTTACTGAAAAGCAATCAATTTTTTCTTATTAAGATACGTTTTTTTTTTTATGTCCTTTAAAATAAGTAAAAATTGTGAACTATCATTCATCTAGAAAATTACCAATATTCAGTTGTCACAACTGTCGTCACAATCCATCCGTCCAGTTGATGCCGTTTGCGCATTTTATCCATCAGTGGCAATTTGTTTATTCTTTTAGAATGGAAAATAGGATGGATGAATCATCAGCTACCGTGACAAAAACTCAAATATGTCTGTGTTTAAAATAGCTGATAGTGTGTCCATTTCCTTCCATGCTGCAAAATATTCCTAATGGGTGCAAAGGGGATACAAATGTCATTTATGCAAAATTTAAGATAATGAAGAAAAAGACATGAAGATGCAACAAGCTACATTCTTGCTCTTGCTGTTAATGTATCGATGACATCACTCACAACGACAAAACAATCAACTCATCCATATATATTACTAAAAAAGCAGTAATTACAATCTATTCACAGAATACATTCTTTCCTGAAACACCGGACACTACCATTATTATCATAAAAAATGTGCTAAGCTCATAAAAATATGCAAACAAACTGACAAACATACAGAAAAATAATTGAAGTATAACAAATTAGTCAACATTTACAGATGAAAAAATATATGCATAAACCTTCAATGTATGATAAGGATCCGTAATTTTGTATTACAAATTATAGTGGAATACTGCAAATATTAATCTTCGTGAGGGGAAAAAGTAGATAAAATCTCAAACAGATGGTAACATTTGAAGAAGGTAACTGCGGTTATACTAACGGATGTAGAAAACAGTAGAATAAATGAATAAACAAATAAAACAAGGTAAATAGTTTTCTAAATGTTATGGTGCATCACTGCAATGTAATCAAACATGAAATCAAAAGAGAAATAAATGGATAGTTAAAGACAAGTTAGGATAATAAAAACAGAACAAGTAACTGCAGCATGGTTAAAGCAATTGTTATATCGGAAACAGAATTTTTCACTTCTTGACTTCGTCTTTTAAATGCTAATCTGAAACTCTGACAAAATTTTCAAAACGTAAGAATTTTAGGTTTGGAAAATAACAGCAGAACAATGAGCATGTATATCCAACGGTAGTCGAATATAATAAATTCTCGAAGAAAGAGGAACAAAATTTACAACAGAAAACTCGCACTTACTAGAACAAAGACTGATGAATTCAGAGAAATGTAAAAATTTGATAACAATTGAGAAAACAAGATTATGATAATAAGAAGTAAAACTGTGGTAGAATGAGAACGTTGCTTTCGTATAGTTAAACAATACCGACCATTCGTCCAATAGGAATGTTGATAACATACTTCGTGAAACTGGAGAACTGCAATAAAGTTCAATAAATGATTTCTTTTTTAGTTCCTTGAATTCAACGATTCCTTCTTTAGTGGTACTTAGCTACATCTGTTTCGATCCTTCATAATGAGAGAAATAAAAATTTTTCTGAATTTCTAAAATGTACTCTACATAATGTACTGATAATTAAAGTGAGATTCATCACGGTAAAATTCATCATGGTAAACTATATAACAACTAGCAACTATTATCAACAATCGTGAATCCCCCACATTTAACATGCCAATTCAAAGAGAACTTACAAGCAAAGCACTACTTTTTCCCTGATCTTTGTAAACTTTCTGAAATTTAACTTCAAAATTATCAGCTAAACTTCGAAGCTGCTCAGCAATCACCCGGGCATTCCATTCTTCTTGTTTTCCTGCATAAAAAAACTATTCAAAAAACAACCAATAAAACAAAGATTTAATGAAAATATGATTTATTACACTTCAATAAAAGAAATTGAAAAATGAGGAAAAAAGAAAAAAAAAGCAAGTACTACCTTCAAAATTCGTTGTATCCAATTTGCCGGTGATTTTCTCAGACTTAGCTTTACTGCCTCCAAAGCCTATGCCAAGAAAAAAATTTTTCTGAATAACGAACTCATCCTCTTCTTCCCTACAATTTCCCATTCTTATGCAGCCCTGAAATGAGTGAGATTTATTTGACTAAAATGAAGAAAAAAAGTAGAATAAGTAATATCATAGTGAATGAAACTCAATCACTTTCTTTGTTATCTTTTCCCCCTATTTTTGAATCAGATGAAGAGGAATAGGACTATTTATAGATAGTTCATTTGCAACAATCAAGATAAATCAAAAATAAATTGACTTGATAAAGCTTTATATCTATGCAGCATTCCACATGATCACCAAGAGACATAGCAGTGTCACAGGGATAAACTGTTAGGACATGAGAATAGCTCAAATAAGTATTGTCAATAATACCACCAGTGTAATGCATCTGAAAAATAATTCAAAATACAGTAAATTCAAAACTACATCACTAACGAAAAATATTTGAGAAGACGACAAAAAATCATTTTCTAAACATTCTTTCTATTAAACTCTGCATCCTAATTAAAAAAGAAATACAGCAGAATAAATAAGGCTGCTAATATGTTCATATATCATTTTCTCGCTTGCATGAACTGTCTAAATTGTGATCAAACAGTTATATTATTCTATGTGATTTTATCAGCTAATTCAAATCATATTTTAAATTGAATTTTAAAACTATCTTCAAACTACCAACTTTTTTCAAAAAACTTTTTTTATTCTACATCATATTAAACTCTTAATGATACTTTACATCATAAAACTTATTTCTCATTTTTGACAACAGACATGTTCGAGACTAAATCGCTACACATTTGCTATCGACTGATTACTCAAAACAAAAAAAAAAGAAAAACTTTTAATGATGTATTGCAGCATATCTGTTCCCAAGAACGGGAAGTTTATCTATTCATCAGCAAATCTAAATAAATTGATTAATATATATGTGCAAATGTGTGTATGTGCATCTGTTTCTATACTGTATGAAGGGATATCTTTGTAATAATTAAATTATTGTTTACCAACGAATATTATTTTATGGTTAATCTCATATTCCTATAAACCCATTAATTGCTATGCTAAGCTACACTTTCTTAGCTTTCAACTGTTAGCATTTATCATATATAAAAAAGAAGAAATTTTAAAGTGAATTTTAGAGCTGAATAATATAAATATCCAGAAATGCTAACTCAAAACTGATGCTCTGTGAATTTATTAGAAAACATAAAATAGAAAAATTAACTAAAATTAATATTGGTACAAACAGAACAATACGTATGTGTACGGTACAAAATATAGAAAAAAATTTGCGCAGTGCAAAATACTGTTGGTGAAACAGAATAGTACAGCATAGCACAGAGTATAAGTAAAGCTAAATTATTTAAATACTTCTTGTTTTTTGTTATTAAAATTTTTAGAAAAAGTTTTGCATCCATTAACATTGTGAAATCTCTTCCTAAAACAAAATTTTCTCTTTTTTTCTAAAATTTCCAAAACATTTCAATCCAAATCGTTATTTGCACTATTTTCAAATACTTTTTATACTTTGATAAACTCTCAGACTTCCCTGCAAATATTAGCACTTAGTAATTGACAATGAGACAACAGGAAATCCCGGTAGAATGATCCCAAGCACCAAATCCATACAAATAACTTGTACAATCACGCTAAATCGATGACAGTGCACGCATGCATGGGGGCGGGCTTGTTTTTTCGCGCAATTTCACGCTCGTAAGTATAATTCAGTGACAATTTCGCTACGGTATGCAAATCGCTCGTCTCACACCTAAAGGAGACAAAAGCTTTGATGAATTATCATTGTCAAATTATTTGCTATTAAATTGACTTTATTTGGAAAATCCATCATATATTATCTGTTTATTGGTCATAAAATGAACTATTTTTCTTTCCTGAATGGCTGAATTACAAGCTAAGGCACTAAAATTACTTGTTCTTAAAAGATAGAGATTTATCGATAATCTTTTCCTCACACAAAATATATTTGACACTTGTTTACAACGCTGGCAGCTCAATTGTTCCATTGACTTTTTTTTCCTTTTTCTTTCAATAACTTTATTTTCTTATTATGAAGTCAACGAACATTTTTGGAATGAAATAATACCGAAATCTTTGATCCTTTACCTGTTCAGAAACACTGAACAGTACAGTTCATCGCATAATTGTTTCTCTTAGATGTTCAATTTTCATTAACAAAAATGATTTATTAGCCGATGTTATTATAATCAATATCTATGTAATTTGATATTTAAGAAAATAAGAATGCTTGGTAGTTGCAAAATGTTTCAGAATAATTGAAGAAACTGTTTCTTCACAAAGGGTAGAAGATTTGATGCTATTTATAGCACAGGGAAAATGAGGCTTCTCTCATCTTTCCATTGCAATACTCCCAGGTAATTTCCCTAATTATTGAAATAATAGAAACATAAAGTCATTGGATTGAGTCGGTCGGTATCTGAGAAAGCTGTGTCCTCTGTTGTCCTACCCATCTGTCTACCAATTAACAATTAACTATTCTCTGCTAGATGAGATTTCTTCGATAAAGAATGGATTCTCTCACGCTAAATAATAACAAAGATAGCGCTGATCAATTGACCAATCTGATTTACCTGAGGTTAGAGTTAATCGATTTGCTCCCTTAACCTCATATAACTCTAGCTAATTCTAAAGTTTTAAGCTTATTAATTCCTTTTTAAATTGCATCAAATGAATTATATTATATCGAATTTTGATAAATAGTTGTAAAAAGTTGACAAATTCGTTTTTTAAACATTTCTTTTTTCACATCATCTTGCGCAAATTTATTCCTTCTTTAATCAAGCGCTAATATAAGTGACAAGCTTTCAAAGTGACGATATCATTTTCAAATAATGTCATTCTGAAATCTTATGACAACAACTAGTTTATAGTATCTATGAATTAATTCTTTTTTTTTTTCTTTTCAGTTAGGAAGGAAACAAAACCAATAACTGTTCAGATAGCTGTTTCATGAGCTTTGAAAAAAGGCACTATTACACCAATGATGCAAACGAATGGTTATTGGATGAACGATGATAGCAATGGCACTAGGAGATGGCAATTAAATATTTGGAAATTCACTAAATGATCGACATTCGGTCATTTTAATTGAGGACAAACAAAGAAATTATATTTTGCTAACCCACAGAAAAAAACCGATAGGCACATCCGTTAGTCATCACTACTAAAGCATTTTTAAAAAAATCAAATTTGCATAAAATTGCAACAATTTTTTTTTCTTTTTTTGATTGAAAAAGAAAGGGTTTGTTTTTGGAAAAAGGACATAAAGGAAAATTGAAATACACTTTAAAAAATTTCCCTTTTTTTCGAAATTTAATCGATATGTATAACAGAAAAAAGAACGAAATGTAAATTGAATTCAATTTGTGAAAATGAGAAAAAATTTAAATTGTAAAAGGGCAAATATTAGCATTTAATGAGAAATTGTTGGCCAAGCATAAATGATTTTAGTGCTTCTAAATGACCTTATATTAATATTTAATTAGAACTTATTGGCAAAATATAAAGGATTTTAGTGCTTATAAAAGATCATATATTAGCATTTAATATTAACCAAATATAAGGATTTTACAGAAAACTAAATGATCCTAAATTTTCTAATCTTTTACTTTTCTTCCTGCTTTTTCTGTTATATAGAAATTTCTTCACAATTATTTTAGGAATAGAATTAGTTCATTTCGATTAATCTGTATTTATGCATATTTAAAATTAAACTAATTACACTATTTCAGTGTATCAATGCTGTAAATATTAAAAAAGTAAAAAAGAAGTGAAGAAAAGTTTTATATTTTCGAATTATATCTTATTGAGTTGTATTTTTCTTAGCAAATAATTGTGAAGAAATTTCTAACCTTAACAAACTTTTCTCTTACACTATAAAATTTATTACCGAATGAAACTTTAAGTTTTTTTAATTTTCAAAAGTTTTTTCCTTTTTCCCAGAACAAATATCTACTAAAACAGAAATTTATTTAGCAGTTTTTCATTATTGGCTGTAAAAATTGAATTCGAATTCATTTTTCAACTCTTTCACAAAAGCTTTTATAACAAAAAACATTTTAAAAAAGCCGAATTTGTTCATTTCTTTAGAAATTTATTTTCAGTCAATAAATTTTGTAATAAATTAAAAATAGTTTGATCGATGTATTATTAGAACTTCAGCTTCATCCAAAAATGTTAATTCATTTTATGGCTGATGACGATTTTTATAGAAAAAAAGGAATTGTGATTGGCACGATATGGCTCGTGTAGCTTTTCTGTCATAATTTTATTTGCTCTCAAAAAAAAAAAAGACCCAAGAACAAAGTGATTCAAATTGAGTGAGAGAAATTTTAAAATTTATATTCATTTCGGATTTCATTGTTTTCTGTAAAAAAAAAAAAAAAAAAAAAAAACTAAACAAGAATAAATGGATGAGAAATTTAATTGAATTCATAAGCAATTAGATTAATTAAAGCGAAATCTGTAATTCGAAATCAATACTATAATGCCTCAATATTCATAAGTTTTTAGTTTAGGAATCTAAAGCTAACTGTAAATATATTACAATAACTCGATATAAGATTACTTTATTGTCGATACTCTCTGAGACACTATGACATTACTCGAATGAGCATGTAAACTGTTGAAGGTCATCGGAGCAGAGATGGGATAAGGCAAGGAGGCGTCAAATTGTTATAATTCGATGTAGTGGAAAGGAAACAACTCAATTATGGATCGTTGAATCAATTGTTTCGTCGTATTTAGAAGGGTTTGTGCTATTCTTATCTTCTAAATAACTGCTTTATTATACAGGGATAAATTATATGAGATACAACTGAGTACGTCCTCAGAACAACACAATCTACAATTATCTATTCGATAATCGCCTTACTTCAAAGCTTACTTTATCATACTTTGCAAGTACTGTAACAGGTGCTGCACATAGCACAGTATCGTTGCAATAAGGATTAGAGATAGAGATTTCTTGCCATTTTATCCGGCATAAATCTCTGAAATTTGGAAATCTTTCTTCCAACAAATTCATTCATCAATTGATTTAATTTAGCTTTAATTTTACTATTCCCTCATCTATTTATTATTTATTTATTATTACTATTATTAATTATTATCATTATTTTTATTATTTTATTGTTATTGTATTATCATTGTTTTTATTAATATGTTTATTATTAATATTATTGTTACAACAATAACAAAATTAGTGCAAACACTACCTTTACTCCAAGTACTGAAGTTATTCAAATGGTCAGTGAAATTATGATAAGAATAGGATGGCACATTGATAATAATATCGGAATTTCATGATATAAAGTGTCTATTATTTTATTATTGAATATTTAAAATACT